CCCAGCAGACCAGGGAGACGCGGAGCGGCTCTTCTCAGCAGACACCTCAGCTTGAGAATAAAGGACTGAGGGAAGTGAGGTGTGGGAGAATAAAACTGAGCTCTGGAAAAATGTTTGGCTAGAGTTTCCCCTACAATATGTGCCAGTTCCAACTTACGTACAAATTCAACTTAAGAACAAACCTACCATCCCTATCTTGTACGTAACCCGGGGACTGCCTGTATAGCTTCCTCTTATAACTTAAAGCAAAGCAAGGGTTTGGTTGTGCCAGGAAAATGCGATGTTTCTGGAATGGTTCTTCTCATTAAACCAGACAGAATCATCAAATCAAGTACAGTTCTCAAAACTGACATAAATGAGTGAATGGTGAAAGAGACTGAACCTCTATGAAGCAAAAACATAGATGAACCTGGAGCTGGATTGCTTCTCAATAAACCTTACAAAACAGAGGGATAAATCCGAGAAATTTGGAGTAGTGCTCTGTTTTGGTACAGCTAAATCAATGCTTGAGGTTTGAAAACTAGAAGATCATGTTATTGGAAACCAAATTGACTATAGTCTTTTTTGTTAAAACATAGCAAATGATAGTTTATAGGGATGAAGAAAAAGCTACACTTAATGAAAATCCTATTTAAAAATGTTACTAATTTTAACAATCCTATTTTTAAGAAATCAGAAATAAAAGTTACTTCATAAAAATAATATTGTATTTTTAAAAAATACAGTAATTTAAATAAAGCATGTACATTGTCCTCTTATTTTAAAAAACCTTCATTGAGGAAAGAATCCGAACTGCACTAAGTAAGTCTGCTAGTATTTAATAAAAATTGAGCATCAGCTTAAAGCAACTGAAGTGTTCAAGTACTTGGGCATGAAAGTGCAGAACACTGATGTCTTAGAAGGCTGAGATGTGTTCATCACTGTACAAGATGTACAACAGCTCTACTTTGTGGGCTTTTCAATTGTAATACAATACTGCATAAGATATATGATGATTCATCATTGACACTGGCAGCAGTAAACAGGTTAGTACGCTACAGAACACATCCGTATTAATGTGTGACAACTTTATCGCGCAAGCTTGAAAGGAAAAACCGAAACAGAAGTAGGCATGCTTTTGCTTAACCTAGACATAAATCTTGGGTAGTATTTACAGAAGTTGCTTAGAGCTGGCCTGACTCTGTTCCCACTAAAGTCAAATATAAGATTCCCATTAACTTCAACAGAAACAGAAGAGGAAAGCAGAACACCTGCCTCTGCATGGTGGTGCCCAGAGACACCCTCCCACTGCATGGCCCCCCCAGTCCTCTTTCCATTATCCATGTCCTCAGACCCTCTCCTGCCCCCCCGACTCCCATTCCCCCTTCTCAACCTGGCATCCCAAAGGCACCCTCACTCTCTGCCCCTTCCTCCAGCCTCATCTATCCCCTTTCCATTTCCTCTGCCCACAGACATCCCCCTTTTCTGCTTCACTGCATCCCAGCAATGCCACCTTTGATGCCCCTTCTCTCTAGCGCAAGCTTGAAAGGAAAAACCGAAACAGAAGTAGGCATGCTTTTGCTTAACCTAGACATAAATCTTGGGTAGTATTTACAGAAGTTGCTTAGAGCTGGCCTGACTCTGTTCCCACTAAAGTCAAATATAAGATTCCCATTAACTTCAACAGAAACAGAAGAGGAAAGCAGAACACCTGCCTCTGCATGGTGGTGCCCAGAGACACCCTCCCACTGCATGGCCCCCCCAGTCCTCTTTCCATTATCCATGTCCTCAGACCCTCTCCTGCCCCCTCTGACTCCCATTCCCCCTTCTCAACCTGGCATCCCAAAGGCACCCTCACTCTCTGCCCCTCCCTCCAGCCTCTTCTACGCCCAGATTCTGCTATCACAGCACCCAGAGCAGCCCCCCCACAGAAACTCCTATGTAAGGGTCTGGTGCTGTTTCTTTGCTAGTTAGGTTGCCTGTTTGTGAGAGGGGGCAGGGTGTGCATAGGGAAGGAGGAAGCAGAATAGGGTGTATGTGCGGATGGGTGCTGCAGTGAGGGGGATGTAGGAATGGAGGCAGGGGGATGGGCAGTGTGGAGGAAGAGGTGAGATGGATGGATGAGGGTGTAGGAATGGAGGAAGGAGGTAGGAATAAGCAGTGCGGGGTGCAAATGGGGAGGGGTTAGGAAGGATGGGTGGGTGTAGGAATGGAGGAGGGCTGTGGGCCATGGAGCTCCAGGATAAGGACTAGTGGCCCAGATTACCCCACCAGGCTCTCTTCCCGCATGACCCAAATCTTGTTCTCAGTAGGGAGGAGGCAAGTAAAGCTGGGGGCTCCCCCATAGTTCCATGTCTCTCCATCGCACCCTGGCCGCATGGAGCATGTCCCAGCCCCATAGCATGTTAGCTGCAAAGCAACATCTGGAGCACTGCTGCCCTGCAAAGACGGGAAGTAACCAGGTGCGGTGAGCAGGGAATTCTCTCCTTACCTGGTCACTCAAATGTAACCCTGCCCTACCCCTTGCTAGTGAGCCGAGTGCCCAGGAGCACCTGGAACGAAGGGGACTTGTTTGGAATTGGGCCCTGTTTTACTGACTGTGTTTGGTTTTTGTATACAGGAGAGGCCCACAATCCCGCAGAGCACAGCCCTTCCTAACAGGTCACTTCTCCGTAGCCCTGTGCTAGCTGCCAGGAGAGGCTCCAAACTCTGCATGCAAATGAACTATTTTATTGACGGGTGGAGCAGGAGCGGGAAGGATGCAGGGAGAGACTGGTTGACGATTGAAGGGTATGAGTGGGCAAGATGGGCTGAGAGCGTTCAGATAGAGGGGACCCATTCAGGGGTGTGGTGGGTGAGAGCAGAGAAGGGTGCAAGTGACTTGGGGCCATGGAGAGCGCAGCTGGATTCAGTGCAATATTAACAGGCTCTCCAGCTGCAAAATCAGACAAAGAGAGGGGGGTTGGCAAGTGTAGGGGGTGCAGGGAGTGAAGCCCCCTACTGTTTTATAAATGCTAAAGCATTGTGATACATCTCTGTTCCCTTAGATTGCCAGGTGAGGAACTTTAATAATCTCTTCTTACCTTTGTGGTCTGATCTTTACTGCCATCATCAACAACTATTACTTCATAAGTGAAAGCAGGATCTTTTTTCTTAAAAACAAAAATGGAAAGTTTGAATTTGGTCCAATCTCACACTCACTCCCACATACCCTTTTTCACCCACTTACTCAAATGGGCAAAACTTCAGCCACCAGAATCTTTTTTGCCCCACAATCTTCTTCCACATTCATGTCATAATATACATTTGTACAGTCAGAATCATAGAATACTAGGACTGGAAGGGACTTTGAGAGGTCATTGAGTCCAGTCCCCGGCCCTCATGGCAGGGCCCAGTACTGTCTAGACCTGCGGTTCTCAAACTTTTTGGGCTCCGGAGCCCTTTACATGCGTAAAAATTTATGTGGCGCCCCAGCGGTCCACTGATTATATGTGTTGTACCTATCAATGTTTCCAGTTTGTCATCCTTGCGGAGCCCCTGGAGATGTCTCACGGAGCCCTGGGGCTCTGCGGAGCACAGTTAAAGAAACACTGGTCTAGACCATCCCTGATAGACATTTATCTAACCTACTCTTAAATATCTCCAGAGATGGAAATACCCCAACCTCCCTAGGCAATTTATTCCAGTGTTTGAGTACCCTGACAGTTAGGAACTTTTTCCTAATGTCCAACCTAAACCTCCTTTGCTGCAGTTTAAGCCCATTGCTTCTTGTTCTATCCCTCCTCCTTGTGACACCCTTTTAGATACCTGAAAACAGCTATTATGTCTCCTCTCAATCTTCTCTTTTCTAAACTAAACAAACCCAATTCTTTCAGCCTTCCTTCATAGGTCATGTTCTTTAGACCTTTAATCATTCTTGTTGCTCTTCTCTGGACCCTCTCCAATTTCTCCACATTTTTCTTGAAATGCGGTGCCCAGAATTAGACACAATACTTCAACTGGCCTAACCAGTGCAGAGTAGAGCGGAAGAATGACTTCTCGTATCTTGCTCACAACACACCTGTTAATGTATCCTAGAATCATGTTTGCTTATTCTGCAACAGTGTCACACTGTTGACTCATATGTAGCTTGTGGCCTACTATAACTCCTAGATCCCTTTCTGCCGTACTCCTTCCTAGACAGTCACTTCCCATTCTGTATGTGTTGCTTCAATATCATTTTATAAATCTGCTATGATGATAAACATCTTTAAAGCAGTATCAATCTGTTATCAGTATGCTATTCTAATCCTGCCAGATTACATGACTACGCTATCAGAGGTAGTGTTATTTATTTTTAAAGCTACTATAAAACACTGAAAATCAATCTTGTTATAAAGTGAACGTTGAGGCTCTGGGTAGCCTTTACATTAAAGATCAGAAAGTTCAAACCAGGCAGTATTTTCTGAAAATTGCTGCCTTTAATAAGGTGACTAATCCCTAACAGTGTTAGGAAAGCAGAATTTTAAAAATCTTGTGAGAATAGACAGTAACTATATCTTCAGATGACTTTTACTCTCCTATATGTTTATGCTGGATAGGTTCCATTTGAATACAATTAACTTCCAAATGTGATTTCAGTAAAAATTGGTCTTTTGGCATATAGTCTGAAAAAAATCTCATTAAAATTCTGCTTTTCTAACACAGTTGGGGTTGATCACCTGATTATGAGGCAGTCCGGACAGAGCACTTATCTTTTAATTGGATAATTTTATATTCCTTCTAAGCAGATCAGAGAAATCCAAACAGGCAGTTGGTTTTCATATACTTACAGTGATACTATATTTTAAATGTGAAAATGAAAGTTTCACACCTGTCTTTTTTCAAGATAGTCTAAAGCTTCATCCATCATCACAGGCACTGAAAGGAGAAAAAAAATTACAAAGCTGCTTTAAACAAAGCATCAATAAAAGCATATTTAAAATATTTCCAAATACCAAAAAAATCAGGTCTCCAGATAAAAACAGTTACCTTGAAAACGTGGGAGCGAAAAACCAAAATTCAGTTATGAATTTAATACCAACTCAAATAAAAGTTAGGTTAATTGTATTTTACTCCTAGTGCTGCCACCAAATCATTATCCAGTTTCTAGCATTTTGCAATTCCGTGTGCCCATTTTCCTCTTCCCAGATGGTAAAAGATTTAACAGGGGGGGGGGGGGGGGGAGAGCAGTGCTGTCAAATTGCAGTGAACAAAGAGGGAGAGGGTTTGGATGCAAGAGGGGTCTCAGTTCTGTGGTGTGGAATCTGGGTGGCTGTCATCTCTCACCTGTAGATCCCCCCCCCCCCTCCGTTGCTGCCCCTCTGTATCAGAGGCAGCAGCACTGGGGGAGGGGGAAGGCAAGGCAGAGCAATGGCTCCTGGAGATCTGTCTGCCCTCCCATGCTGCTATCTCTGATTCAGAGGCAGCAGTGGAGGAGGGGAGGCAGGCAAGAGCTGGTACGTGCTCTCCCGGAGCACCTGCTCCAGTGGAACTGCCTCCCCCCACATGTAAACACGGATCAGCTGAAACTTTACCAAAATAAACACTAACATTCCTAATAAATACTACCAGAATGAGTCAGCTAAGCACAACTTGGTAAATAGTACAGCAAATTGCCTCAGCAGAAAATGTTAGTATCTGCAAACAGGGTGACCATCTGTGACGCCAATCTTTCCCCATCCTGGATAGAAAAGAGTGCTGAGCATCTGAGACACCCTCCTCCCTCTGCCAAGATCAGATAGTAGTAAAACTTCCTTTGAAAATAAAAATCTACTAGTTAGCCTGAAAAAAAAATTATCCAAGCAATACTACTAAAATCATAATTCTACACTAGTGACCTTGCAAACCATTTTATACTGTCCAACCTTTTTTCTACGTGAGCTAATACAGTAGTTCCCAACCTTTTTTATACCGTGAACTGGCAAACCCATTCACAAACTTTTGGCGGACCGGAAACATTTTATTTACATATTTATTATGGTAATTAATTTTAAGAGGTCGCATGTTATTTTACATCACATTTATACACATACATTACATGTCATTGTAATGATCAGAGTTTGCAGACATCTACAATGCTAAAAACATTTCTGTAAAAAGAATCTTTTCCTTTTTTATCTTAAGCCATTAACACCTATGCAAACTTTGTTTGAAATGTAATCATGCAAATATCACAAGCTAGGCCTTTTATTCTAATACAGTAATTCCTCATTTAACACGTGCCCGCTTAACACGTTTTCGCGATAGCATGATTTTTTTTTTAGGGAACGTTTTTTGAATTACACGACCGTCCCCGGGCTGCGCGGGGCTCCCCCCGCCTCCCTGCAAAGCGGCAGAGGGTTTGCCGCTCGCCGTGCCGTTCCCCGGCGACCCCCCCTTGCCAGACGCAGTGCGGGGCCTGGCAGACTCGTCACAGGGGCATACTCTCAACCCAATCTCCCTCCTCTCTCCTCTCCTTTCCTTCCCCAGAGCCAAACACCTCCCCTCCCTGCCATAACCCAGTCCCCTTTCTTCCCCAACCTTATGTCCGAGTCTCAACAGACACCACTGCTTGAAACACAACCCCCACCTTTTCCATTATTTTCAATGGGAAAATTGACCCCGCATAACACGTTTTCACTTAACACGATCATTTTCTGAAACATATCTATAGTATTAAATGAGGAATTATTGTACTCAAAAGCAGTCTAAAAGCTTTTAGACCGCCTGAAGTTTTGGTACCACTCCATACAGCCTGTCCCAGCCCAGGAGAGAGCCCTATATCTGCAGCCCAGCTAGGGCTGCTGTGCTGAGACAGACAGGATTTGACTCTTGCCACCTGCAGTCCAGAGGGAAACAAGACAAGACACCCCAAAATCCCCTTTACCTCCACCTCATTGGACAGACACCAGCACTGCCTCCTATTCCCCCACCTACCCCATTCCGTCTGCTGCCTCTTTCCCAGACAAGAAAGCTAGAGAAGTGTTCTGGATTTCCTCCCAGGAAGCTTCAGGCAAACCCAGCTGCTGTAATCAGACCTCTTCTCTCCCATGCTTACTACGCTCTTCAAAATCCCCTCTCCTCTGGCCCCCTCCCATCCCAGCCAAGTACTTATTCCCTCTCTCTTTCCTCCTTATGTCCCCTTCCCGACCAGTAGGCTTGTTATCTAGAGCAGAGAGCAGCTGTATGTTCCTGCGGCAGCACAGTTTACAGAGAACTTAGATTCCCACCGAGCCAATTATCAAGGCATGGACATGACCTGCCAGTGTGCTGCGACCCGGAACCAGTCCACAGACCAGCATTTGGGAACCACTGAGCTAACAGAAGGCAGCAAAATACATCACTAATGCTACCTATCAGCTTCTCGTACCCTGAATCACTTAGTAAGGTTTCAGGCCAGGATACGTGATTGAGTGTATGTGTACCCTCAATGTTAGAATGTTAGAGTTTAATCCAGGGGTGGCCAACCTGTTCCAGACAAAGAGCCACAATAGCAGTGGAGACAGCATGAAGAGCCAGAGCAAAGTTGTTGAGAGAGAAAAAAAAAAAAAAAGCTGCGCTGGGGGACAATAGGTGCTGGTACATCCGTCCCAGGGCACGGCTTTTTTTTTTCATAGCTTTTCCCCAAGTCTTTGCAGCCCAGCCTTTTTTTTTTTTTGGCTCAACAACTTTACCCCGGCTCTTCATGCTGTCTCCACTGCTATTGTGACTAACAAAAAGAAGCACTGGGAAAGGGTGAGAGATGCAAGTTCTGGGAGGGAATTTGAGTGCAGGAAAAAGTAGAGAAGAGGATGCTGGCTCAGGGAAAGGGCTCTAGGCTGGACAGTGTTGGGGTCAGGTGGAGTCTTGGGGTGCTGAGCAAGCCACAGGCTTGTTGCTGTGAGGGTACAGGAGTTTGGGCTGGGGTGCATGAGGGGATCAGGGCAGGGAAGCTGAGAGTATGATGGGCTCAGGACACAGACTTGCAGGTGTGGATGGTGCAGGAGTGTTGTGGCAGAAGACTGGGGATGAGGGTGTGCAGGAGTTTGGGGATGTGAGAGGCTTAGGACAGGGGGTTCCAGTGAATGATAGGCTCAGGTTGGGGCCTGGAGGGGAGGGAGGTGCAAGAGTGTTATGATGCTGAGGCCAGATGGAGAACTGGCCCCAGTTGGGGGCTTGTTGGCCAGGCTTCATTTTTAAATAAAATATGTCAAACACAAAATGTTTCAGCATTGTCTTTATTTATGAGAGGGGCGGGGAACCTGTTTTGAGTCAGGGGTCACTGACCCACAGAAAAGTCAGTCAGGGCCACAAAAGTGAGATGCAAAAAAACAACTCCTCCCAAACCCCCCAACCCTCACTAATGTGGCCCCAACTGTGCTGCTGGGGGCAGCGGACAGGGTGCTGGGGCAGGGTACTCATGGGGGGGGTCTGGCCAGGAGGAGGGGGACAGACAGCTGGGGCCAGTACCTGGGTCTCAGGAAGCACGCTGGCTGTTCTTCCCCTCCCCTCTTCTCCCCCAGGCACTCCCCCTCTCTCCCCCCGCTCTAACCTAATCCCCCTCCCCTTCCCCAGAGCCAGGCACACACACACTTCACTCACCCAATCCCTTTCCCCAGAGCCAGGCAGCCTCACCCAATCC